AGATTTCTTCTTTGAAAAAGGTCCAGCCTTCCTTGACTCTTTTGCCCTTCAGAGCTGCTTCCCAAGGGACTCTGTCGAGCAGGCTCTTGAAAAGACCAAAGTCTGCCCTCTGGAAATCCATGGTGGCAGTCCTGCTGGCTCCCCTCCTTGCTCCCCTTAGAATCGGGAACTCTATCAGTTCATGGTCACTGTGCTCAAGACGGCCTCCAACCATCACATCCCTCACAAGTCCTTCTCTATCTACAAGCAGCAGATCCAGCAGTGTTCCCTCCCTAGTTGGCTCCCTCACCAGCTGTGTCAGGAAGTTATCCCCGATACACTCCAGGAACCTCCTAGACTGTTCCCTCTCAGCCATATTTTGTGCCCAGCTGATATCTGGTATGTTGAAGTCTCCCACTAGGACAAGGGCAAGCGATCTTGAGACCTCTCCCAGTTGCTTATAGAGTATTTCATCTATCTTTACATTCTGACTGGGTGGTCTATAACAGACTCCCACCATGATATCAGCCTTGCTGGCCCTCCCCCTGATTTTTACCCATAGGCACTCAACCCTACTGTTACCCTCAATTATCTCTTGACATTCGTAACCCTCCCTAACACGCAGGGCCACCCCTCCTCCTCTCCTCCCTCACCTGTTCCTTCAGAAGAGTTTCTTGCCATCCATCACAGCACTCCAGTCATGCAAGCCATCCCACCACGTTTTCATGATGGCGACTACATCATAGCTTTCCCACTGTTCAGTGGCTTCCAGCTCCTCCTGTTTGTTGCCCATGCTGCATGCATTAGTGTAAAAGCACTTCAGCTGCACAGCCGGTCCCACCACCTTTTTGCTGTAGGAAGGCCTAACTTCTACCTGACTATTCCCAGGCACAGCCATAGTTTCTAACCCATCAATGATGCCTGCGTCTTTGCTGACGGATTCCCCCCTTCCCCCTTCAAACTTAAAGACCGTTTGATGAGCCCTGCCAACTCCTGCACAAAGACCCTCTTCCCCTTTTCAGACGGGTGTACCCCATCTGTCTCCAGAAGGCCTGGTGCCATGCAAACCTTCCTATGCTCAAAAAAACCAAAGTTGTGTCTTTGACACCAGGCTCGGAGACAGTTACTGATCTGCTGGCTCTTCTTGTTACTTTCCTCCTCCTTCCCTGCAACTGGGATGACAAAGAAGAACACTACCTGTGCTCCTGACCCCTTGACCAGTTATTCCAAGGCCCAGTAATCTCTTTTGATCACCCTTGGATCTCTCCTTAACAGCTGGTCTCTGCCTGCCTGAAAAATGAGTAAAGGGGCTTACCAGGGAGGGGACTTTTCTCTTTATGTCTTTAACCTGGGCCTCAGGGAGGCAGTAGAGTTCCCTGAGAAGTGGGTCAGGTCTGCATATCGAGCCTTCTGCTCCCTTTAGAATGGAGTTGCCTACAACAATAATCACTCTTTTTTTCTGAACTGAGGATGTTTTGATGCTGGGTTTAGTCTGACTTAACTCTGGTGACACCTCCGTAGACATTGAATTATACTCCTCATTGTGATTGGGTTGCCTTTGCAGAGCCTCATACCTGTTTTTTTAAGGGTACCTGGGGAGGTGGGGGAGTTACTGGGGAGAAACACCTACTTTGTTGGGCAGGAACTTCTTCCCACAGCCCCCCTAATCCTCTAAGTTACCTTGTTCAGCCTGGCACAGAGAGGACAGGGAGTCCTCTATAGCAGGGGCTCTGTCTGCCTGCTTGGTTTCTATTCTGGGAGACAGGGTACAACTCTGGCAGTCTCCCTCTCACATTTCCTAATTTTCCTCAACTTACTTACCTCCTCTCTGAGCTCAATCAGTAAGTGGAGGAGCTCTTATACCTGGGCACATCTCCCACAGGCGTGCCCACCAATGACTCTGTCCCTGGAAGTTGCTGGGTACCAGCCTGGGCTTGCTTCTCCCAGCTTCGAAAGGCCTCAAAAAACAAGCCCCTTGCCGGCTCTCCTGGCTGCAATTCCCTTGCCCAGTGCAGACTTACCTGCACTGGAGCTGGTCTGTCTGGCGAGAGTCTTGAACTTACTGAATGACTGCTGCTATAAAGACAGCCTCTCAGACCCTGCAACAGTACCTGCAAGAAGGCCCGGAAGGGCAGCAGGAAGCAACATAGCACAACTGCAGCTACCTTCAGCATCTCTCCCTTGTCATTTGGGTGTGACAGAATGGGGAGGAGAAACAGGAGAAACCTTTCCACCCATGCCTATGCAGCAGCAAGACCCAGAAGCTATGGGCATGAAAATTTCTCAGCAAAACACCAGCAGCCACAAGGGAACTGCCATTTGCACCCTCGCTGTGGGACTTCACTACATTATGCTGGGTGGAACACCAAGACTAGTCAGCACTCAGATAAAGCGTGTCACTGGGAGGACATCCTGCCAATGCAAGTAACACAGATCTGCCACAGCAGGACAGATACTCAACAGAAGGGGAAATCAAAGACCCTTAAGTGCAACCCTGAAGGCACAGATGTGCTTTCCTACAGCTTTGATACATGGAGGGGCAGGAGGGCAGGGTGGATGTCGGAAAAAAAACCCAGAGAAACTGCACGTGGACAACACCTCAAAGTAGGAAATGAGGTAGGGACATGCTCTGTCACCTTCAGAGCTTCCCTCAGCCAACCTGTGCTGTGAATGCCCAGCCACTCTCACAGGCAAGTGCTGGCGCTGCTGCTGAACAGTGCCCTTGAGTCTGTGCCAACCACCTACAAGGCTGGTGCAAGCCCAGGATTACTGGGGATGCTGCTCACACCTCTGCTCATCTGCACACTCTTCTGAGGTCAGGACCTCCTGGCTCAAAGTGGCTTTCCCTCCTGCAATTCCCAAAGCACAAGCAACTGCAGGAGCTCTGTGGGCACAAAACAGCCCCAACAGCAAGGACATGAGCCACAGATCTTGTCACTCCTGCTTCAAACTGGCAAAGCTGAAACAAATCCAGTCACATGGGCCACTACATAACCTCTCTCTAGTATGTTTCCAAGCTAACAAGACAGCATTTGGACCACTTGTAATAGCACAAGATGTTTTCTCCTCTAGGTACCTGGGCTAAAGCACACTTCGCCTGTAGCTTCCTCTACTAAATACAACAGGAACAGACATCAGAAACAAAAGCAGAAGAACACTGTTACCTGAAAGTAGCTCAGGGAAAACCTGACAGAGAAGAAGAAGATGACAAGACAAGATGGAGCACACTCCATTAGAAAAGCAAGAATAGGACTGATATCTACCTAATTTTCTTTCAAGCATAACAAAGCTTCAAGTACCACAAAACACCTTCTGGCCGTCCAGCAACTAACCTGGAGAGAAATTTAAGTGCTCTTTTTGCTCTGCCTGCCCCGGGACAAATCATCTCTGCCTTTTATGGAAGCAACACTTCAAAAAAAATCAAACTCCTCTGCAAACACAGGAAAGGGAAGGCTTGTGCACATCTGCTCCCAGAACAACCTGTCACAGCAAGATGGCTTGGCCCTTCACTCTTCTCCTGCAGCAGCCTCCTCAACAAAACACAGCACAGAGCTGCCGACACCTTTCCCCACTGCAGATCCACTCAGCTTGCTCAGCAGCAGAACAGGGGTTAGCTCAGTCCACACTCACGTCATTAGGACCTGTGGTGCAGACAGAGAGACCCATCTCAAGTCTCCCTGCTCCGGTCAGGGCCCCAGCCTCGCTCCCCTCAGTGCTGCATGCAGCACTTCTCTCCTCCCTGGCCTCTACCTCCAAACCCTCCAATCCTCACATGGGCAATGCCAGCTCCTCCAGCTTCCTGAATGCTCCTGCCACTGCTCTTCTCTCACCCACCCCAGCTCCACAGCCTCTGCCTCCTGCCCCCAGCACCACCCACCTCTTCCCTCCTCCAAATTCCTGCCCGGCCACGCTGCTGCTACAGCCACAGCCCAACTGCCCACGGACACAAAGAGCCTCTCCTGCCCCTGAGAGGAGCCCTGCCCCACTGCAAAACCCCAACAGATCCACCTAGCAGCCCCAAGGCTGCCTCCCCCACCCCAAGCCACCTGACCACCCCACCAGCATGCCAGGAAACCTCCCAAAAAGCACCAAGAGCACAGCGCTGCCATGGCCAAGGGGGCTTTGCAGAGCAGCAGGAAGGTTATGAGGCAGCGCTATCAGCCATCAGTAAACGCTGTGCCCTCAGGCACAGAAGCTGAAGCGGCTGCTGCTCTCCCGAGGCCTCTGAGCCCACCCTCATGTCCCACTCTGGCACCCAGACCCCTGACGCACACGGGACTCAGGCAGGCCTGCTTTCTGGGGGGCTTCCCGAAAGAGCAGGATCCACGCTGGGATTAAGCTGTCGCTCTGAGCTGTGACACTTCACAGCTACACTGCCATGGACACAGCACACCACCTCCACTTCCATTCAATCAAGGCTGACTTCAAACCCATCCCGCTGACCGGCAGAGGATTACCACCACAATGGCAGTTCCAGCAGACTTAGCGCAGCCACAATGAGGGAACAGCAAACACTTTCTCACCAACATCAGCTGATGGGCCAGGGCGGATGAAAACAACACAGAAAGAGAAATGATGGGGCAGCATTTGGGTAAGCCACCCGGATTAGAGAGGCTCAAAGAGGGATGAAAACCAGCATGTACTGCTAACCCAGCAAAACTGCAGCTCCAGCCCTCATCTCCGTTCACCCAAACACAGTTAGGGAACACAAACAAACTGTTAGACCCACTGTTACTTTAAGCTTCCAACTTGCAAGCAGATGGGCCTTGCAAGGGCCCAATCGTGGGATACCCCCTTAACAGCAACACAACAACAGCACGGCAGTGAGGTAAACCTGACCCACATGGTCTGGGAAACATTGCAGTATTCTTTTTTCTTTTGTTTTTTCTTTTGTCTTTGTTCCTCACTGCTACAGATCATGAAAGAAAATGCAGGACTACATAAAATAACATTTGGCAAATGAACACTCAGAAATCTGTAGGTTATTGACATCTTCCACAAAAGCTACATTCAATACTTACTGTGCACACATGAGGCCAGTTCTCAAGCTGACGGAGCACTGCTGTGCTCAGCTCTTCCCAGTACATCTCCCGGTAGATCTGTGGCATCTTTGACACCCAGACACCACTGCTGCACTTGCTCAGAATCTCCATAATGCGACTTTGAACTTCATTGATATGACGAGCAGGAGGGCCAGAGGCAGCAGTATGTGTCTCTGCAACGGAAGTATTCAAGTTATCTGTTAAACAAAAATACAGCCTTGAAGTAAACATAGCCTTATCAGCATAGAGAAAGATAGATGATTACTTGCCTACTTAAAAACTAAACACGGGAGCTGCCAGCATGACACCAACTCTAAAACATCCAGCATGTCTGTTTCAGTCACTTTCTATTGGAAAGAGCCATGAAAACCTCAGACATTTAGTAATTGACCTGAAGCTGAATTTTTGAATCACTGTAGTTATTTTCATGAGAAGTTGCTAAACGTTTCTTCTGAAGAGATCCTGGAAGAGGTTACAGAACCCTCAGCCACACTGCTGCTGAGAGGTTGCACTAAGGCAGTGTCCCAAGAGGGACACAAGATAGTTTCTTTACAAGTACAAACACAACAACAAAGATACAGCAAAACACCCAAGGATGTTCTTCTAAACAGAGGTACAAAACAGACCAATGATTTGCCTGTCATTCTAAGATACGTCCTGAGGAAAAGTCTGAAACTAGCACCCAGACTTTCTGTGCTACTGCATCCAAGGAAGCTCTCCAGCTGAGCAGGGAAAGGGACAGCAGATGTCCAGCTACTTTGGACAGTTTCATATATTATGTGTAGGAGCAAGGCAGGCATTATCCCAGCTGGAGGTTCACAACACTAGCTTGCCTGCTCCCCCATCTCTACTCCTCTCCTCTCTTTAGAGGGGTGTATTGGCTACTAGACCCAAAGCTTCACAGATCAGCCTGACAGGTCTCAAAGAAAGCAACCATCATTTGACAAGCCCATCAACTGCACAACTGCTGCTTGCTCCTGAAAGTCAGGATTTCACTCTCCTATACCAGATCCCTACCCTGGCAGTGAAGTTAAGCATTCTCCTACTGTTTCCAAGCTACTCACAATAGTTTTGTTATTGGCTTTGACACTTACTACACAAGGATTCTCCTAGAAGACAGAAGGGCGGATAAGGAAAAACACACATATCCCCAGCACCATGAAAGAGTGAGAAGGTTCACTCACAAAACTTTGCTTCTCATGCAAACCTATCTTCATTCAAAAAAAGTACTAAGATGGATTTTTCTTAAGATGACACACATCTAACATGAGTAGTTGACAAAAATTTTCTTCATGGGCAAGCATACCATTTGAATCTGTGGAAGAGCTTCTGGACAGGTGAACCTGCAACTCCTTTTGAAACCGTGGTGGTACAGATAGTCTCTTCTCAGATCTAAAATTGAAAAGAAAATAGATTTAAGTGATTCTCCTGGCTCTGAATAGCTTTACACTTGCTTAAAAGACCTATACATAAGGTAAAATTTCTGTCACATACTTATAGCAGGTGCCATGCACAAGATCAGCACTCAGAACATCCTGGCTTGGAAAACAAGCTCACCAGCCGTACCACGACAGATGAACAGGTGGTTTCTATTTTTTTCTTATTATTCTGATTATTGTGGAAAACAAAACACACAGTAAAAAGACATTAGCAAAAGGAAAGCATCTAGGCCTAATAACACAATTGATGGTCTTATATTTGATATGTACAGCCCCATTATTTGGACTTTTATCTGGATGGCATCACAGTCTTGCTGTTGAACAGGATTGTGCTCACCACCTTGGTAGCCACATCAGAGACTCCTAAAAGTATGTGGCTTCAGAAGTTTGGGGAAAACCTAAAACTATACAAGAACTCAAGGTATTTTGTGGACACCATTGCTAAGCTGTTTAAAAGATTCCTCTCTGAAGTGCTCTCCCACAGAAAGGACACAAATGTCATGCTTGCAGGTGTTCTTCTGAGGTACCTAAGAGAATAGAGTTTATGCTGGGAGCACATGTAGCACAATTAACTCCTGACAATGAAGAGGCCACAGCAGCGTGTAGCTCAGTAAGACTGTTTTGGAACAACCAAATCTGGAATAATTACATACGCTGCAAGAAAAAGGGAACAAGATTTGGAGAAAAGAATTTGAAGACCAGGACCAAGTGCCTCTCCCAAAGACAGGTAGAATCAATCACAGAATCCTAGAATACAGGGTTGGAGGGGACCTCAAGGATCACCTAGGCCAAACTTTCTTGGCAAAAGGCTATCACCCTGTCTAGCTGAATCGTAAAAATATCCAACATTGGGGAATCCACCATTTCCCTGGGGAGATTATTCTGATGGCTGATTGTTCTCATTGAAAAAAATCTTCCACCTGTGTCCAACTGCGATCTCCCCGGGAGTAACCTGTACCTGTTACCCTTCATCTTTTCCATGTGATTCCTTGTAAAAAGGGTCTCCATCTTCTGTGTAGAAACCCCTTAAACACTGGAACATGCTGATAAGGTCTCCCCCTAAGCCTTCTTTGCTCAAGGCTCAACAAACCCAATTCTTTCAGCCTTTCCTCACAGCACAGGCTGCCTTTGATCATCTTGGTTGCCCTTCTCTAGACCCTCTCTGCCTGTCCACATCCTTTTTGCCTAGTGGGGACCAAAACTGAACACAGTATTCCAAGTGTGGCCCGACAAGCACTGAGCCGAATGGGATAATGACTTCTTTATCTCTGCTGCTAATGTTCCGATTGATGCAATCCAGCATTCTGTTGGCTTGCTTTGCCACTGCAACACCGTTTGCTCATATTGAGCTGGTGGCCTAGATCCCTTTCCACAGAGATGCTTTCCCAGCCAGGCAGATCTCAGTCTGTGCTGCACTCATTGAGCTTTCCAGCTTCAAGGATCTCTGCAGTTAGCCTTAGAAGCAAGGTCTCTTCCACCTTCTGTGGGTTTGCAATTCCAAAGCAACATGCTGGTGACATGAATCATAGAATTGTCTAGGTTGGAAGGGACATTTAAGATCATCTAGTCCAACCACCAACCTAACTCTGCTAAAAAAAAAAAGCCATCACTAAACCATATCACTAAGCACTATGTCAACCCATCTTTTGAACACCTCCAGGGATGGTGCTTCAACCACTTCCCTGGGCAGCCCATTCTGATGCTTAATAACCCTTTTGGTGTAAAAATTTTTCCCAATATCCAATCTGCACTCCCCTGGTGCAGCTTGATGCCATTTCCTCTTGTCCTATCGCTTGTGACTTGGGAGAAGAGATCGACCCCCGCTTCTCTACAACCTCCTTTCAGGTAGTTTTAGAGAGCGATAAGGTCTCCTGTCAGTCTCCTTTTCTCCAGGCTGAACAACCTCAGCTCCCTCAGCCTCTCCTCATAAGACTTATTCTCCAGAGTCTCACCACCTTCGTTGCCCTCCTTTGGACCCGCTCCAGCACCTCAATGTCTTTTTTGTGGTAAGGGGCCCAAAACTGGACACAGTACTTGACATGGGGCTGCACCAGTGCCGAGTACAGGGGACAATCACCTTCCAAGTCCTACTCGCCACGCTGTTCCTGATACAGGCCAGGATGCTGTTGGCATTCTTGGCCACCTGCACACTCTGCTGGCTCATGTTCAGCTGGAAGTCAACCAGGACCCCCAGGTCCTTTTCTGCCAGGCAGCTCTCCAGCCACTCTTCCCCCAGCCTGTAGCACTGCATGGGGTTGTTGCGACCCAAGTGCAGGACCCAACCCTTGGCCTTGTTGAACCTCATCCCACTGGCCTCGGCCCATTGATCCAGCCTGTACAGATCCCTCTGCAAAGCCTTTCAACCTTCAAGCAGGTTGACACTTCCACCTAACTTGGTGTCATCTGCAAACTGACTGTGGGTGCACTCAATCCCTTCATCCAGATCATTGATAAAGATGTTAAAGAGAATCGGCCCCAGTATCGAGCCCTGGGAGACACCACTTGTGACCGGCCACCAACTGGTTTTAACTCCATTTGCCACCACTCTCTGGGCCTGGCCCTCCAGTCAGTTTTTAACCCAGCAGAGAGTACTCCCATCCAAGCCATGAACAGCCAGTTTCTCCAGGAGGATACTGTGGGAGACTGTATCAAAGGCCTTACGAAAGTCCAATATCCACAGCCTTTCCCTCATCCACCATGCGGGTCACTTTGTCATAGAAGGAGATCAGGTTTGTCAAGCACAACCTGCCTTTCATGAATCCATGCTGGCTGGGCCTGAATCTGGGCATCCTTCATGAGCTGCATAATGGTGCTCAGGATGATCTATTCCCTGACCTTCCCAGGCACCGAGGTCAGACTGACAGGCCTGTAGTTCCCTGGATGATCCTTCAATCCCTTCTTGAGGATGGGCATCACATTTGCTAGACGCCAGTCAGCTGGGACCTCCCCAGTTTGCCAGGACTGCTGGTAAATGATGGAAAGTGGCTCAGTGAGCACTTCCACCAGCTCCCTCAGTACCCTTGGGTGGATCCCATCTGGCCCCATAGACTCGTATCCAGGTATTGGAGCAGGTCCCTCACCACCTCCCTTCGGATTACGGGGGCTTCATTCTGCTCCCCGCCCCTATCTGCTGGCTCAGGGGTCTGGGTACTCAGGGAGCAACCAACTCTACTACCGAAGACTGAGACAAAGAAGGCATTAAGTACCTCAGCCTTCTCCTCATCCTTGTTCACAATGTTACCTCCCACATCTGATAGAGGATGGAGATTCTCCCAAATTGTCCTCTTGTTACTAATACATTTATAGAAATTCTTTCTATTAACATCCAAGGCCAAGTTAAGTTCTAGTTGGGCTTTGGCCGTTCTAATCGTTTCCCTACATAACCTGACAACACCTTTGTAATCTTCCTGAGTGGCCTGCCCCTTTTTCCAAGGGCCACAAACTCTCCATTTTTCCCCTGAGTTGTGACCATATCACTTTTTTCAGCCAGGCCAGTCTTTCCCCCAATGGCTCGCTTCACAGCATGCAGGGATGGCCCGCTCCTGTGCCTTTAAGATTTCTTCTTTGAAAAAGGTCCAGCCTTCCTTGACTCTTTTGCCCTTCAGAGCTGCTTCCCAAGGGACTCTGTCGAGCAGGCTCTTGAAAAGACCAAAGTCTGCCCTCTGGAAATCCATGGTGGCAGTCCTGCTGGCTCCCCTCCTTGCTCCCCTTAGAATCGGGAACTCTATCAGTTCATGGTCACTGTGCTCAAGACGGCCTCCAACCATCACATCCCTCACAAGTCCTTCTCTATCTAAAAGCAGAAGATCCAGCAGTTTTCCCTCCCTAGTTGGCTCCCTCACCAGCTGTGTCAGGAAGTTATCCCCGATACACTCCAGGAACCTCCTAGACTGTTCCCTCTCAGCCATATTTTGTGCCCAGCTGATATCTGGTATGTTGAAGTCTCCCACTAGGACAAGGGCAAGCGATCTTGAGACCTCTCCCAGTTGCTTATAGAGTATTTCATCTATCTTTACATTCTGACTGGGTGGTCTATAACAGACTCCCACCATGATATCAGCCTTGCTGGCCCTCCCCCTGATTTTTACCCATAGGCACTCAACCCTACTGTTACCCTCAATTATCTCTTGACATTCGTAACCCTCCCTAACACGCAGGGCCACCCCTCCTCCTCTCCTCCCTCACCTGTTCCTTCAGAAGAGTTTCTTGCCATCCATCACAGCACTCCAGTCATGCAAGCCATCCCACCACGTTTTCATGATGGCGACTACATCATAGCTTTCCCACTGTTCAGTGGCTTCCAGCTCCTCCTGTTTGTTGCCCATGCTGCATGCATTAGTGTAAAAGCACTTCAGCTGCACAGCCGGTCCCACCACCTTTTTGCTGTAGGAAGGCCTAACTTCTACCTGACTATTCCCAGGCACAGCCATAGTTTCTAACCCATCAATGATGCCTGCGTCTTTGCTGACGGATTCCCCCCTTCCCCCTTCAAACTTAAAGACCGTTTGATGAGCCCTGCCAACTCCTGCACAAAGACCCTCTTCCCCTTTTCAGACGGGTGTACCCCATCTGTCTCCAGAAGGCCTGGTGCCATGCAAACCTTCCTATGCTCAAAAAAACCAAAGTTGTGTCTTTGACACCAGGCTCGGAGACAGTTACTGATCTGCTGGCTCTTCTTGTTACTTTCCTCCTCCTTCCCTGCAACTGGGATGACAAAGAAGAACACTACCTGTGCTCCTGACCCCTTGACCAGTTATTCCAAGGCCCAGTAATCTCTTTTGATCACCCTTGGATCTCTCCTTAACAGCTGGTCTCTGCCTGCCTGAAAAATGAGTAAAGGGGCTTACCAGGGAGGGGACTTTTCTCTTTATGTCTTTAACCTGGGCCTCAGGGAGGCAGTAGAGTTCCCTGAGAAGTGGGTCAGGTCTGCATATCGAGCCTTCTGCTCCCTTTAGAATGGAGTTGCCTACAACAATAATCACTCTTTTTTTCTGAACTGAGGATGTTTTGATGCTGGGTTTAGTCTGACTTAACTCTGGTGACACCTCCGTAGACATTGAATTATACTCCTCATTGTGATTGGGTTGCCTTTGCAGAGCCTCATACCTGTTTTTTTAAGGGTACCTGGGGAGGTGGGGGAGTTACTGGGGAGAAACACCTACTTTGTTGGGCAGGAACTTCTTCCCACAGCCCCCCTAATCCTCTAAGTTACCTTGTTCAGCCTGGCACAGAGAGGACAGGGAGTCCTCTATAGCAGGGGCTCTGTCTGCCTGCTTGGTTTCTATTCTGGGAGACAGGGTACAACTCTGGCAGTCTCCCTCTCACATTTCCTAATTTTCCTCAACTTACTTACCTCCTCTCTGAGCTCAATCAGTAAGTGGAGGAGCTCTTATACCTGGGCACATCTCCCACAGGCGTGCCCACCAATGACTCTGTCCCTGGAAGTTGCTGGGTACCAGCCTGGGCTTGCTTCTCCCAGCTTCGAAAGGCCTCAAAAAACAAGCCCCTTGCCGGCTCTCCTGGCTGCAATTCCCTTGCCCAGTGCAGACTTACCTGCACTGGAGCTGGTCTGTCTGGCGAGAGTCTTGAACTTACTGAATGACTGCTGCTATAAAGACAGCCTCTCAGACCCTGCAACAGTACCTGCAAGAAGGCCCGGAAGGGCAGCAGGAAGCAACATAGCACAACTGCAGCTACCTTCAGCATCTCTCCCTTGTCATTTGGGTGTGACAGAATGGGGAGGAGAAACAGGAGAAACCTTTCCACCCATGCCTATGCAGCAGCAAGACCCAGAAGCTATGGGCATGAAAATTTCTCAGCAAAACACCAGCAGCCACAAGGGAACTGCCATTTGCACCCTCGCTGTGGGACTTCACTACATTATGCTGGGTGGAACACCAAGACTAGTCAGCACTCAGATAAAGCGTGTCACTGGGAGGACATCCTGCCAATGCAAGTAACACAGATCTGCCACAGCAGGACAGATACTCAACAGAAGGGGAAATCAAAGACCCTTAAGTGCAACCCTGAAGGCACAGATGTGCTTTCCTACAGCTTTGATACATGGAGGGGCAGGAGGGCAGGGTGGATGTCGGAAAAAAAACCCAGAGAAACTGCACGTGGACAACACCTCAAAGTAGGAAATGAGGTAGGGACATGCTCTGTCACCTTCAGAGCTTCCCTCAGCCAACCTGTGCTGTGAATGCCCAGCCACTCTCACAGGCAAGTGCTGGCGCTGCTGCTGAACAGTGCCCTTGAGTCTGTGCCAACCACCTACAAGGCTGGTGCAAGCCCAGGATTACTGGGGATGCTGCTCACACCTCTGCTCATCTGCACACTCTTCTGAGGTCAGGACCTCCTGGCTCAAAGTGGCTTTCCCTCCTGCAATTCCCAAAGCACAAGCAACTGCAGGAGCTCTGTGGGCACAAAACAGCCCCAACAGCAAGGACATGAGCCACAGATCTTGTCACTCCTGCTTCAAACTGGCAAAGCTGAAACAAATCCAGTCACATGGGCCACTACATAACCTCTCTCTAGTATGTTTCCAAGCTAACAAGACAGCATTTGGACCACTTGTAATAGCACAAGATGTTTTCTCCTCTAGGTACCTGGGCTAAAGCACACTTCGCCTGTAGCTTCCTCTACTAAATACAACAGGAACAGACATCAGAAACAAAAGCAGAAGAACACTGTTACCTGAAAGTAGCTCAGGGAAAACCTGACAGAGAAGAAGAAGATGACAAGACAAGATGGAGCACACTCCATTAGAAAAGCAAGAATAGGACTGATATCTACCTAATTTTCTTTCAAGCATAACAAAGCTTCAAGTACCACAAAACACCTTCTGGCCGTCCAGCAACTAACCTGGAGAGAAATTTAAGTGCTCTTTTTGCTCTGCCTGCCCCGGGACAAATCATCTCTGCCTTTTATGGAAGCAACACTTCAAAAAAAATCAAACTCCTCTGCAAACACAGGAAAGGGAAGGCTTGTGCACATCTGCTCCCAGAACAACCTGTCACAGCAAGATGGCTTGGCCCTTCACTCTTCTCCTGCAGCAGCCTCCTCAACAAAACACAGCACAGAGCTGCCGACACCTTTCCCCACTGCAGATCCACTCAGCTTGCTCAGCAGCAGAACAGGGGTTAGCTCAGTCCACACTCACGTCATTAGGACCTGTGGTGCAGACAGAGAGACCCATCTCAAGTCTCCCTGCTCCGGTCAGGGCCCCAGCCTCGCTCCCCTCAGTGCTGCATGCAGCACTTCTCTCCTCCCTGGCCTCTACCTCCAAACCCTCCAATCCTCACATGGGCAATGCCAGCTCCTCCAGCTTCCTGAATGCTCCTGCCACTGCTCTTCTCTCACCCACCCCAGCTCCACAGCCTCTGCCTCCTGCCCCCAGCACCACCCACCTCTTCCCTCCTCCAAATTCCTGCCCGGCCACGCTGCTGCTACAGCCACAGCCCAACTGCCCACGGACACAAAGAGCCTCTCCTGCCCCTGAGAGGAGCCCTGCCCCACTGCAAAACCCCAACAGATCCACCTAGCAGCCCCAAGGCTGCCTCCCCCACCCCAAGCCACCTGACCACCCCACCAGCATGCCAGGAAACCTCCCAAAAAGCACCAAGAGCACAGCGCTGCCATGGCCAAGGGGGCTTTGCAGAGCAGCAGGAAGGTTATGAGGCAGCGCTATCAGCCATCAGTAAACGCTGTGCCCTCAGGCACAGAAGCTGAAGCGGCTGCTGCTCTCCCGAGGCCTCTGAGCCCACCCTCATGTCCCACTCTGGCACCCAGACCCCTGACGCACACGGGACTCAGGCAGGCCTGCTTTCTGGGGGGCTTCCCGAAAGAGCAGGATCCACGCTGGGATTAAGCTGTCGCTCTGAGCTGTGACACTTCACAGCTACACTGCCATGGACACAGCACACCACCTCCACTTCCATTCAATCAAGGCTGACTTCAAACCCATCCCGCTGACCGGCAGAGGATTACCACCACAATGGCAGTTCCAGCAGACTTAGCGCAGCCACAATGAGGGAACAGCAAACACTTTCTCACCAACATCAGCTGATGGGCCAGGGCGGATGAAAACAACACAGAAAGAGAAATGATGGGGCAGCATTTGGGTAAGCCACCCGGATTAGAGAGGCTCAAAGAGGGATGAAAACCAGCATGTACTGCTAACCCAGCAAAACTGCAGCTCCAGCCCTCATCTCCATTCATCCAAACACAGTTGGGCAGCTGCTGGGTCTGGGTCTGCGTACTATTAGAAGGACCACAAATGCTAACGCTGCAATGGAGAAACCAGGCAAGAGTTAAAGAGCAGCCACGAGCAGACAACCAGGACTCTGAACACAGGTATCGCCTGTCAACTGCATACAAACCTCCTTCTGTTCTCTATCATGCTGGCCGTAACAGCTCCTTTCTAGGCCTGGGTAACAGCGACATACCCACACACCCTTTGTGTAATGCCTTTGGCCACATTTCTCTCCAGAAGACATGGCAGCAGGCCAAAAACACAGGCTAGCTACGGCAGCATCCAAAAAGACAAAGGGTCACCCGTGTCCCTCGGGGGTAACAATCCAGATTCAAACTTCACCTTCTGCAAAGGTGGAAGCATGGATACCCACCTCCCAAAATGCACTGTTGGCAAGGCAGCACACAAGCGCCCAAGACATTTCATCTCACCTTGCTCACACACACACGTGTACACACACTGACCTGTTTACCACAGTGACGTGCCTCTGCATGGGAATTTCTTTAGATGATCCACTCCCAGTGGCTGGAGGCATGGCAGATCGGGCACTCTCCATACTGGGTTTCACCACTCCACATGCTACTCCTCTGCCTCGTGGCGGGCGAGGAACAGGCCTCTTGGTGCCTTCTTCTGGCATGCTCAAAGACCTGGGCTGTCGCAAAGTTCCTTTGGGCTTTCCTAAAGAGTTTGCAAACATAGCTGTTAGTAGTGCTTTCTTCCACCCAATACAAACAGACTTCAAGCACAGCACATAATTCCCTTTAGGAAGCCCACACTTTTCCAAAAGACAGTTAAGAGGGATGCTCTCAGCCACAGTCACAGATCTCTGCTATAGCAGCATAGCGCGCACCCAAAGACTCACAAACCACAATCTCCACGGCCAACGCTGCAGGAGGGAAACAGACAGGAGACCCATCTCCCCTTACACTCTGGGAAAAGCCATGCACCTGTGAAGTGCCACAAGTCATGTCTCAGGAGGAACCCATGCTCAGGCTGCTCTTTATCACCCAACGGTGGCAGCAGCAGCTCCCAAAGCTGTAGCACATGCAGCCTTACTCCACCTCCTCAGACACCTCCTACATCGCCTCCCAAGGTGTTTCTTCTTCTCTACCCTGGCTTGCAAGCACCCTCCTCCTGAACTCCCACCACACAGCAGACGTTACCAAATAACACCTGCAGAGGAACATGCCACACTGGCATAAACAAGCTCTTCATCACCTCACTATTCACTTGCTGGCTGCACCCCACCAATTTGGGTAGGCTCAAACGCTTCCAAGGGGTATTGCCATGCAGTATATGAACAAACATGCCTTTACAATCATTGTCATTTAACTGGGATATGAGTCACCAGTGCAGCTTCCCAACTAGAGGCTGGACTTTGGCATGGTCACAGAGGGAGAAGTAGCAAACCCTTCATTACAGACAAAACCAGAGGAATACAAACAAACTGTGAGACCCACTGTTGCTCCAATCTGCCACCTTGCAAGCAGATGGGCCTTGCTGGGACCTGATCCTGGGATACCCCCTGACAGCAACACAACAACAGCATGGCAGTGAGGGAAACCAGACCCAGAGGTTCTGGAAAAACACGGATGCAGCAGCTTACGTAAAAGGCACAGAGGTACAAAGAGCAGCCCCCAGGGCATCAGCAATGTCATGGCACCAGGGAACTTGCAGCAGCAACAGGAGCTGCTAAAACAGCAACAGATGATGTTGCAGGGGCTCCTTCTCCCTGCAAGAGCATGGCTCATCCCTGCCACTCCACAATGGGCCAAGCTCGGCCTCAAAAAGCAAGAAGGCCACATTTCTCACCCACATGTCAACAACATTCCTCTCAGAAGCATGGGCAGGCGGAAGTGAAGCCAAGTGTTCTCCGAGAACTTCCTTTTTCAAGACCATTCACATCCCATGTACATGCTCAAGAAGGGCTTCCTCACTCACCATGGCCTGCAAGCACAGGCACCCTTGTCAACAACACTCCCTGCTCCCAGAGACTCCTTCACAAGGACAACACAACTTGTGGTCATTAGTAACACACCCTCATGGCCAAGACTTCTGCTCCAGCAGCTGCACATTTCTTTCACAAAGGCAGGCCCTCCGCAGCTGCCTGGGGCTTACCTGCTAAGGTGACTGGAGATGTGTTCTTCAACCTCATCTGGCAGTTCACTTGCCGTCCCATTTTCCTCTTGGAACTCCTCTGCCGTGCCACCAGTTGAGCAATTGGCGCTGTGTCGCTGCAAGCAACAGCATGGCAAATGACCTTGTTGGAGTAGGAAAGGGACAGGGAAGAAAATGGTCAGTGAAGCTCAAGCTCATCCTCAGCCTGCAGAAGGACTTGCAACCATTTTTATGTCTGCTGGGTCATGCAGGCCTGCAGGCAGTTCAGCAAAGTCTTCAGTGGCAGACACAGACCTTGGAGATCTCCCTATCCTTTTGCAGTGCCTCTCAGAAATCAGCAAACCAGATAGTCAGAGCCCCTCCATCACCTTCCCACGGTAGGTAGGGCCCACCAGGGAACAGCCTGGTTTCTCATTCCCATCCTACAGGCTTTGCTTCATAGCACTGGGAAGCCACGGGCTTCCAGCCTGCCCGTGCTCCTGCCAAGGTTTGCCAAGGGCTCCAGAACCACTCTGACCCTGCTGAGCTGGGCTGTCTTTGCTCCACTTACCAAAGAAACAGCATGGGCATCCTGGCTGTACAATTCCCCTGCAAGCACTGGGTTGGTTGGCCCTTAACAACAGCCAAGCCTTGGGCAAGCCCACAGCCACCTCCCTGGTCTCCATAACAGCCTTTTGCCTCATCCTCCCCTTGCTGTGTCTCAGCAATGCTGCCACAGGGCAACCCTTGCATGGATGCAGGAACCCTGCTTCAGCAAGGCCCCAGACCACATGCCTAGCATACACCTTGCCTCACAGGGGAGATGCAAACACTAATTTTTGGGTCATTCAACTGCTAACAGCCTAAAAAGGCAGCTGGACAAGTACTCCTCCAGGGCTTCATAAGGACACAGACAGCCACCCAGGAAGTCCTGGGGAGTCTGTGGTCTCAGGGGCCTTCTCCACAGGTCTCAGCCATGCGCTGTGGTGGTGGTACAGGCTGAAAAAGGGGCCTCCTCCCCTGCACACCCATCATCTGCACCAGGTTGGCTCAACACGCAGCCATTGGAGGGAGGTCCTCTCCTGAGGGATAGCTCTCCCACCCAAGGAGCTCCTGCTAGAAACCAGGCAACATACCCACTGCGCAGTCAACACCTATGCAAAGAGCATAGCAGCAGCCTCACTACTGCAGTGGTTAAAAGCAAGGAATCATAGAAAAATTGAGGCTGGAAGACATCTCTATAGACCATCTCATATAGCATCTCTGCTCAGAGCACCATCAACTAGACCTAGCTGCTCAGAATATTATCCAGTCTAGGGTGGAATATCTCCAAGGACATCGACTTCTTAACCACTCCATACAGCCTGTTCCAGTGGTTAGCCACCCTCCCTGTAAAAAAGTGGTTTTCTTAAATGTTTAAATGGAATTACCTGTGTTTCACTTTGCTCCTGTTGACTCTTGTCTGTTCACTGGATACCACTGAGAACTGGCAATGGAGTCTGGCTCCATGTTTTTTTGCTCCCTCCAACAGGTATTAATACACATTTATACGATCTCCCTGAGCTTTCACTTCTCAGAAATCATAAAATGTCAGGTTGGAAAGGACTGCAAGGATCATCTGGTCCAACCTTTCTTGGCAGAAAAACAGCCTAGACAAGGTGGCCCAGCACCCTGCCCAGCTGAATCTTAAGTGTCCAATGCTGGGGAATCCACCATTTCCCTGGGGAGATTATTCTGATGGCTGATTGTTCTCATTGAAAAAAATGTTCTGCTTGTGCTCTCCAGTCTCCCCTGGAGTAATTTGTACTTGTTACCCTTCATCTTTTCCATGTGATTCCTTGTAAAAAGGGTCTCCATCTTCTGTGTAGAAACCCCTTAAACACTGGAACATGCTGATAAGGTCTCCCCCTAAGCCTTCTTTGCTCAAGGCTCAACAAACCCAATTCTTTCAGCCTTTCCTCACAGCACAGGCTGCCTTTGATCATCTTGGTTGCCCTTCTCTAGACCCTCTCTGCCTGTCCACATCCTTTTTGCCTAGTGGGGACCAAAACTGAACACAGTATTCCAAGTGTGGCCTGACAAGCACTGAGCCAAATGGGATAATGACTTCTTTATCTCTGCTGCTAATGTTCCGATTGATGCAATCCAGCATTCTGTTGGCTTGCTTTGCCACTGCAACACCGTTTGCTCATATTCAGCTGGTGGTCCATCAGGAGCCCCTTTCCACAGAGATGCTCCCCAGCCAGGTAGATCCCTGTGCTGCACTCCTGCATTATGATTTTCCAGGTGCAGGGCCTTTGTGGCCGTGTGCCAACCTTACACTTGTCCTTGTTGAACATCATAAGCTTCTTGTTAGCCCACTTTTCCAGCCTATCCACGTCTTCCTACAGGAACATTCCCCCCTTCCAAAGTGTATGTTTCCCCAATAAGTGTGGTTTCATCACCAAACTTTGTCAGGGTACAGCCGATCCCATCATTCAGATCACTTATGAAGACAGTAAACAGTCTTGGGCCCTGTATTTATCCCTCGGGGATGCCACTTGTCATAGGTTGCCAGTTTGAAAAGGAGCTATTTACGTCTTCCTACAGGAACATTCCCCCCTTCCAAAGTGTATGTTTCCCCAATAAGTGTGGTTTCATCACCAAACTTTGTCAGGGTACAGCCGATCCCATCATTCAGATCACTTATGAAGACAGTAAACAGTCTTGGGCCCTGTATTTATCCCTCGGGGATGCCACTTGTCATAGGTTGCCAGTTTGAAAAGGAGCTATTTACCATCACTCTCTGGGTGCACTCTGACAGCCAGTTCTTACACCACCACACAGGCCACTTGTCTATACTGCCACACACCAGTTTCTCTATCAGGAGACTGTGGGGAACCACTATATCAAAAGCCTTGTGGAGATATTCAGGTAGACAGCATCCACCACTTGCCCCATATCAACCAAGTAGGTTACTTTGTCATAGAAGGCCATCAGGTTTGTTGCCTTTGGTGAACCCATGCTGTTTTTTCCCAATCATGTGCTTTGTCTGACTTGTGATAGCCCCCAGTAGGATTAGTTCCATAACTTTCCCAGAGACAGGTGTAAGTGATGGGTCTATAATTTCCTGGATCCTTCTTTAAACCCTTCCTGTAGATGGGGCAGAATGAACAGCCTGAGCTCTCTGAGCACTCTATCAGAGACATTCCAGTCCCTTCATCATCTTCACAGCCATTTACTGAACTTGCATCAGTGTGTCCAGGTCTCCCTTGTTCTGAGGAGCATAGGACTGGCCACAGGTTCTCAGATGTGGTCTTATTAGAGTTGAGTAGAAGAGAATAACCACTTCTGTTGGTGGGCTGACAACACTCTTCCTAATTCAACCCAGTATGCTATTGGTCTCTTTTGCTGCAATGGAACATTGCTGTTCAGTGTGAACTTCATGTCCACCCTCATCCCCAGGAATTTCTCTGCCAAGCTACTTGCCAGCTGGTCTGCAATCAGACTGTACAAGTGCATGGGGTATTCTTCCCCAGGTGTAGGACTCGGCAGTTCCCTGCATTGAACTTCATCGGCTTCCTGTTCTTCTATTTCTCTAGCTTGTTGAGGTCCCTTTGAATGGCAGCACACTCATCTGCTTTATCAGTCCCTCTTACCATCTACAGACTTGCTGAGGATGATCTCTGTCCCATCATCTAGGCTATTCATGAATATGTTAGACAGCATTTCCCCAGCATCAATCCCTGGTGCACATCACTGGTGACCAGCCTCCCAATGGGTCTTATGACACTTACAGCAGAGACTGTCGAAAGCCTTACTAAAATTCAGATAAATGACACCTGATGCTCTTCCCTCACCCACTCAACCAGTCTCATTTTGGCAGGGCATCAGTTTGGCCACATAAAATTTTCACTTCATAAATCCAGACTTGCTCCCATTTGCCTTCTTGTCTTTCACATGTCTGGAACAGCTTTTCAGGATTAGCTGCCTGATCATCTTCCCAGAGATCGAGGTCAGGCCGATCAGCCTGTGGTTCCTCAGATCTTCCTTCCCACTCTTCCTGAACATGCGGGGATACTTGCTTTCTTCCTGTCCTCAGGAACCTTCTGCAAACCATCATGACCCTTCAAAGATAATTGAGTAGTCTTGCAACAACATCAGCCAGCTCCCTCAGCATCCATGGATGTACCGCATGAGACCCATGGACTTTTGCATGTCCAATTTTTCTAAATGTTCCCTAGCCTAACCCACCCTTACTGAGGGTAAGTCTTCCTTGTCCTGCACTTTCCCACTGGTCTCAGGAGCCTTGGGATTGCTCATGGCTGGTCTTACCACTGAAGACCAAGGCAAAGAAGGTAATCTGCGCCTCAGCTTCTCCACGTCCTTTAAGACCATGTCACCATTCGCATTCCGCAGCAGACCCACACTCTCCCTAGTCATCCTTTTGCTGATGATGTAGCTGGAGAAACCTTTCTTGTTGCCCTTCATGTCCCTTGCCAGACTCAGCTCCACATGGGCTTCAGCTTCCCTAAGCCCATCCTTGCACATTTGGATAGTGTCTCTATATTCCTTCCACCTCACCCAGTTCTGCTTCGGCCTCTTGTGTGCATGCTTTTAACAGTTAACTTAAATCAGAAGTTTCTTTTTTTTTTCATCCATGCAGTGCTCCTGCCACTTTTGCCTTTTTTTTTTTTAATGATTGTTGGGAAGGTTTATTCTTGAAATTGGAGGAAGCAATCCTTGAAAATCCACTACCTCTTCTGGATCATTTTTCTCTCCAGGACTGTATCCTATTGAAGTCCAATCCAAGCAGGTTCTGGAACAGGACAAAGTCTGCTATCCTGAAGTCCTTGCTTGTTGATACGGCTGTTTGCTTTTATTCCCCTCCTTTCAGGCTCCCAAACACCACCATCTTGTGGTCACTGCAGCCAGTGCTGTTCCCAGCCTTTACATTCCCAACCAGTTCTTCCTTGTTTGTAAGAATCAGGTCCAGCAAAGCATGTCCCCTCATCAGCTCACCATTTCTGTCAGCAAGTTGTCACTAGCACACCCCAGAAACCTCCTGGATTGCTCATGCTTGGCTGTCTTATCCTTCCAGCAGGTATGGCAGTGGCTCAAGTCCTCCATGAGAACCAGAGCCTGCAAATGTGAGGCTTCTTGCAGTTGTTGGACAAAGGCATCATGTGCTTCATCTACCACTTCTTCCCAGTCAGGGTGTTTGTAACCATGATGCCGCCCACACCCTGGTCTGTCCACTACCTGTAAGCTCTTGCTGGCTTATCACCTGTCTCAAGGCAGAACTCCCAGCATCCTCACTGCTCTCACACTGGAGGGGCTCACAGAAACTCCCCTTTCCCGCTGTTCCAGCTCATCATTCCTCAGCAGCCTGTGTCCATCCACAGCGGCATGTCAGTTGTGCGAGCTGTCACAACAGCTCTTCACGACCGCAACAAGATTGCAGCACTGAACAGCACACGGACCTCCAGTTTATCCTGGTTGTGCCCCTTGCTGTGGGCAGTGTACAGGCACTTGAGAGAGAAGCCCAGCTGTGCCCATTTCCAGAGAAATGTAGGAGAGCTTTCCTCATACTCTTGGCTAACAGGCATTTCCCTCTTCACATGCGAATGCACGTGGGATGGGTCACCTTCAGCCCTGCTCTGTTCTCAAGGTCTCAACATAAAAGATTTTTTTTGGTCATAACACAGTTTATCATAGGTTCATAAATGCACATTTTCACATTTTTGTTCCATTTTAGGTTTTTCCTGTCACTATTGTCGTAAGTTATATTCAGCATTTTCTTCCTTTGTTTTCACCTCATAGGCACTTTAAGTTTAGCATAAATGATGGTTTAAGTTAGAATGAATTCAGATGCAAAGAGAGATGGGATGCACGAATCCACTTGCAGCAGAGCAAAACAGCTTTCAAATTCCTCTTTTTGGGGGAGCAATTATTCGAGCAGAAGTCAAGGTTTCCTCAAAGGAAGGTGCAACCATACACTGCTGGTAAGACAACGTGAAGCAAAGCAGAGTTCCTTGAAATGACACAACCACCTGTTTCACGTGGATGGTATTTCAATTTGAGTCCCCTTGCAGTGTTTTCTACAAACAGAATTTAATCATTCTGTATGGAAGCTGGAGGACATACCTATCATGTGAGGGAAAAATTATCAGCATTCATCTTTCCTATATTCAAGAAGGTTAAACTAGTGTTCATTAGTAAGAGGAATGAGGTACAATTTATATCATTGCCTTCCCAACTCAACCATTTGATTCAGCATCAGCTACCCAGGCAATATTCATCTCACAAAAATTCTTTGATTCAAGGAGCATCTAACATGTAGCACTCTGAGATCAAATTGTATTAGTCACTACCCACTTTACCAGAATGTTTGTTGAATGTATTTTTTGTGGTATGTCTTGGACAGCTACCCTAGCAGTATGGAAAGCCTTTTTAGGACTACCTAGCCTGCAGCCAGGATCATCAGCTGCTGGCAGATCTTTATGTGTGCGATTGTGTCTTGCTGTCCTATCCCACTGTCCCCAAAGGGATTAAAGAAAGAGGCAAGGGTCTTGGCAGCCTTTTTGGAGGTCAGTGTACTCCCAGAGCCAGGAAGACAGACTCGTTGACTACCATGCTTTTGCAGCAGGCTTCTGTGGTCTCAGCTTATAATGGAATTCAAACATTATGGAGAGAGATGAACAAAGAGCGAAGTGCTATACTGAGGACTACCCATGTCCTCTATCAGGAAAACATGCAGAAGCAGTCCTAGGTAGTTACCAGCCCATGCCAGTACGTTTGCCACACTCTGCTCAATGTCTGCCCAGGGGACACTCAGGACAGCAACAACAGGAGAGTCATAAAACGGCAACGTAGGCCCAGTTTTTCCATCTGTCCTGCCTCTGAGGTGTTCACAGGGTGCTTCCTCTCCATTGCTTCCATCGTGCAGAGTATAGTCAGCACTCCTAAACCGAAGCAAGTCCTGCTCAACTACCTCAAGACTCCTGTTTAGTATCTTTGTGCTTTTCCCCATCCGAAAACCATGTTTCATTCCCTCCTTACAGCTGTCACAGAGAAGGCACCGCCTCTATTGCTATCCAAGAGTCCACAAGGCTCTCAGCATACATCGTATTAGAGGATAAGCAAGGCTCTCAAGGGAATGGGAGGATACCAGATTACACCCTGAAAGCACCTAGTTAGAAACAGATGGCTATCTGCCAGAGCCACCATGAGGAAGCGTTAAATTGCAGCATTACAAATGTTCCAGAGGTGCCTGCATTCATGTTACTGATGTAATGCAGTCAGCACAGGCTGCATTACCTGCTGCAAAAGGACAAACTCTGACAGTTGTAAAAATGCAGCAAGGGAACCTCTGGTTTAAAAACAGCCACTTTTCCATACATCAGCACAAAACCTAGGACACCTCTCATCACCTCTTTCACAGCTAACCAGGAAGAACTAGTTTTGAGTTCCCAGCCATTGGGATCCAGCTCAGCCAACAGAGGAGCTCAGCTCTGCTGTCTCTCCAGACCTGCTGTGACAGCCACGCATGGTGCCCAACATCTGCTAGCTTTCTGCTCTCCCACACGCTCAATAGTGTTCAGGAACCCAGATACTGTTCCAACAAGGGAGATGCTTCAAGCTCTCCACTCAAACAGATCACCTACAAGTCATGCAGCTACACCAACCATCAAGTGAATGCCTTCAAAATGTGAATGACTCAAAAGCAGGAATGCCACATTATTTCACAAGGAGACTTGTGGTCCTAGTAAGCTGATTCCAAGCTGGCAGCCACCAGGAGACACATGCTAGTGCAGCAAAGCCAAGGAATAAGGGAAGATGCTCCCACCACACTAATATTCTCTGCTGAGCACCGCTCCATCTCCTTGCTCCTTGCACACTTACTAAGCTGAGGAGTTGCAACTCTTGCATCAAGGCACCTCACCTGCATGGGTCCTTCCTCACCTTGGCAAGTCTTCGCAGTCTTGTGGCACTGCAACTTAGGACAAACTAGAGTGCCAAGTCTAAAGCAAGCACTGTCAGGCTTATAAGTAACAGTACACACAATAGTTTCGCTGTATGAAAAAGATGACATTAAACCCCACCCTGAAGAGATGATCAGGGGACACACACACACGAGTTAACCTTCTGTAAGGTCCCAGGACAACCCACCAATATCCTCCCCCAGAGTTAGAAATGCTGAGACAGAGACCAGAGCTCTACAGTCACAGAAACATTCTAGCCAGAACTCCTGTTTCTGGGAAAATACTCTGCAACCTTCCACCTTTTGCAAACACAACTTCCCAGTCCGCATGCAGATGCAGGAAAATAAGGGCCCTTAGTTTATGCCACAGCTTCCACTTCTCCTCACATTAGCACACCACAGCATGCTACAGTACTTTTCTCAGAAATCCATGGCACAGGCAGAGGCAGTGTTATGAATCACGCACAAATTCACAAACACAAAAGCCATTTCTGAACTGTAACTGATTCTTACCTCTCCCATTTTGTTCCCTTCCATTCTGACCACTCCTGGGATGCTCTCCAAGTAGCTTTGCAGTGTGCCATGTCCTAGGTTCCTGAAGGGAATCCAGTCACCAGTCAGAGATTTGTATTCACCCTGAAGCTCTGACAGAGGTACTCCATTTTTAAAGGCATGAAGAACAGCTCGCACTGTGTTTGCAATAAGTTCAGGGTCCTGCATCTTCACCTATAGCCCCTCCACCCCAAAAGAAAAAAAGAAAAAGCATTCTTACATACACAAGGTGAAAATATTAACTTTTACTATTCAACCTCCCTCCCCAATCAAGCAAGGATTCAGTGGCTCTTTGGAGACCTTCATACTTCTGGGTACACTTGTAGGTTCTGCCAGTCAAGCAGAAAGAAATACACAGGGCATGACACTGTGCATGGGATGGCCCTGCCAGCCAATCACCACACACCATGTGGCCAGAAGAGGGGCAGGGATGCAAGGAAACTGGCCCAGGTCACTTCCTGCAGGGCCAGGACTTCCACCCGCTGCCCCACACCTTGGTGACCAGTGCCCCTTCCTCTCCTGGCCCATGGCAACACTGGTAGCTCACTCATGGACACTGCGCCCTCACACGAACCCACATCCCCACACCAATGCGACACGTGTCAGCTCCTCCATGGAAAACACATGCACCCAGGCCATGCTACGTCTTACCCACAGGTGCACAATGCCTCGAATCCACAGACGTCTCTTCAGAGAGAAAACTCCACAGAAGAGAAACCCTCTCCCTGCCAGCCAGGGGCTGCCCGCAGCAGAAGCAACACAGAGCCAGCACCAACACCACCCTGTCTCATCACCAGGTGGCCGCCCTGTCCGGAGAAACACGTGCCCACCACTGGGGCACTGGTAAAAGTGTGAGCAGGCTGCTGCTTCATCTCCAACAGCTCCTTCGCTGCTGGAGTGCTGGTGGAACACTTCAGTAGACCTACTGGCCAGCAAGAGATCCCACCTGGGAAGGCTGGGCAGCGCAGGAGGTGGTTTCAAAGAGGGTGGCCAGAGCTACCTAGAGCCCTCCCACCCCCTCAGCTCACAAGTGAGCACACACTCAGGGCTTCTCCAGAGCCAGACAGACACACTCACAAAACACAGCAGAGCCCCAGGCACAAGTGCTGCCGGGCAGGCCGCCTTCTCCCAGACCCTCACTCCACACAGGGACAGTCTCAACAGAGAAACCTCCCCGCCACCACCATGGACCAAAGCCGGATGGAGCTCTCGCACAACTCAGGACCTACCCTGCTCTCAAAGCCTGGGCTGCATGCAGGGACAAGGCCTAACACAGAACAGCTCATGTCCTTCAAACACCTCAGCTTCATCAGAAGGTCACCCCACTCTCCTCAAGCCCCTCATCAAGCTCATGATACAAGAGGACAGTCCCTCACCTCCACACACACAAAGACAACCAATTGCCATTCATGTACCTGCACGGTGATTGCTCCAAACGCAGCAGCACCAGCCCACCACGGGAAGTTGGTCTGTGCAGTTCTCAGCAGAAGCAGCCCCTTGCCCATCACCAATTCCCTCTTTTAGGGGAAATCACCCTGGGCAACATAACAAGTCCAAAAGGAGGAGAAACCCCAACCCTCACCACACTGCAGATGCCATGACACACCTTTCCCTCAACACACGGACACCAACACTGTCTCTATCTTCCTGCACTCAAGTCCATGACGGCCCAATCCAGGTGCTGGGCAAGGAGGCACAGCGTTAAGTCCTATTCTTCACCCCTCCTTGAATGGTTTTCCTTTATGCACGCACAGCACTTGACTAACCTGACCGTGTCTCTCTCTGTGTACACGTGTATTCACACACAGCTACACCCACACACCTACACTTAATTCAGACACACCTGTATATACAGGCGTTTACACAAGCACGGTTCCTTACCCCAGCAGCTCCTGCCCGTGCCAGTACAGTGCGTTTCACTGACGGATCCTGGAACAGCCTCTACCACAGCTGCCTTCACAGCATCCCTGCTCAGCTACGGGGCACGGCGGTTCTGCGCCCAGGAGGAGGAGCACACGCTGCACACACGCGCTTGCACACCTCCAGATGGCAATGGGCGGCAGCCACCCAGGGCATTTAGATCCTTCCCTCATCCTTTCAGAGGCTTAGCAGGTGGTGAACAGAGCTTCACTGAATGCCCCTCAAAGAGCGAGAGGTGGTGGTGGCCACCCGTCAGAAGAAGAGACCCAGGGAGCTTGTTATCTCCTCTGCATCCACTCAGTGTCATGGTGACATCATGTGTTGGACAAATGCAAAAGTCTTTACTTGGTATTAAAGTTTCAATCGTATAAAAAAAACCAAAAACAACTCCCAAACACTGAAGTGCATCAGAACCGCAGTTTTGTCTGCAACTGTGTCCAAGTCACATACTCCAAAGAGGTATGGAAAAGTCAATGAGAAGCATTTGGGGGGACTTTTTCTCTAGTCTCTCTTTGAAATAATTGCCCAAATTGTTATTTCACTAATATGGCTCTTGAAAGTCCTCTTACTTGAACTACCTGAATTTAACTTAGTGCTCAGAAAAAATTAATGCAATATTCACTACAGCCTGGCAGAGTGACAATGAATATAATCTCAAAATAACCTAGGAAGTCAGTTTCAAAAGTTGATTCAACAGAGGAAACTTCAATAAAAAAAGAAAGGGGATGATAAGGTGGGGCGACAACATCAAATGACTGTCAGATTGTTCTGTGGTAGAGAAATACTAAAGAACTGAGTTCAATCAGAACTAGTGAACAGGATACATAAAATATATTCTCCTAAATTATTTTGTGGGGACCAGCCATGAGGACATATAGTTAAACGAAATTGACAGGTACAAAGGTACAAGGGTTAAATTGAATGCAGTTTTCAACTTACACCTGAATGACAATCCTACAGCCAGCAGTAACACAGAAGACTTGCAAGGCAGTAATGAGAACAGCAACAGACGGACACATTAGCAGGCAGCTACACGGCTCAGCGTGGCGCCTGAAGCCTTTTTAAAATTGTTTTTGTGGTCAGCTGCTGTAAGGTCAGGTCATTCAACAGTTACAACATTCACCCGGCGGCGCACTGCACCCAGACGGGAGGACAATTCCTTGGAAACAGCCCCAGGAGCCTCCACCTCTAAGCCAGGACGCACCACTCAAACCAGCCTTCTCCGGCAGCAGAGCACAAAACTTTTTCCCACTACGCTTAACGCAGATTACCGGCCCCCAGCTGCAGAACGGCCTCCGTGCTGCAGACTGTTCCTCAGCCTAACAAGAAAAGAAGGAAGTGAGGGCAGTTTTCCTGCTCAGAACAACTCCCTCACAGCCATACTTTCGGAAGGCTACAAAACACAACCCTGCGGAACGCAAGCCTCCTCGGAAGGCACAAAGTAGTCGCTGACCCGCTGAAGTCGGGACACTTTCGCTGTCACCACGGGACCACCGAGGAGCAGCAGCCTCTCGCTGACAGCCCCAGCCTTAGCCCCCCACACTGCCTCTCCCCCCCAGCCCGGCAGGGTTATGCCCGGCGGGGCTCCGCTGTTTCCTTACCACCACCTCAACCCAGGGGGCTTTCCCACACCAGCCGAAGCCGCTTCCCCCTGTCGCCGCCGGTGACGGGGCCGGGCCGGGCCGAGCGCTGCGTGTGAGGGGACGGCGCGGCACCGCCGCCCGTTCCCCTCGCGCCGAGTCAGCGCCCGCGCGGCCCCACCCCGCGCCCCTCTCTCCCTCCCTCTCTACCGCCGC